CCTTGCCCACATATGTCTGGTACATTTTTGTAGCATGAGAAGCTCTCCTCTTCCATAGCAACCACTTGGGGTTTTCAGCTGCTAACCCCGTCCTCCAGGACAATAGCAGGCCAGGCTGGGCAGGACTGTATTCCACACCCTTCTCCAAATTCTTTGTGTTAATAAACCCTGGATCTCACTTCTTTCTTCCTAGCTTCTCATTTATTTTTCCAAAGAGCACAATAAGCACAATTGATTTTAAAATAAAAAATCTCTGGCTTATGTACAAAGGCATTATTCAGAAAGGTTAAAAATGATGAGGAGGCATTATTTCCCATTATCCTTACTTTGTAACCTTGCATTTGAAACACCACAAGACCACGGTGGCCTCCCCTGATGGCGTCATGTGTGGGCAGCTGTCTCAGGTGGGCAATGTATATGGCAGTTCCTGGGTGACCTTGGCTCAGAGCAGATACTAACCACAAAGGACAAAGGTTTGTAAGTCTGCAGGGCTAGAAGAGGTCATTGCTACTATCAAGTGCAACCAATTTCTTTGCTAGCTGGTTTACATGAAGGTAGTTCCATCTAGAAAGGGAAGAAAACCTTGGGAATGTGTGAATTAGTGAGCAGAAAGCTATAGGGGAGCCCAGAGAAAATTAAGTAGAAAAGGGAGAACATGGCTTCCAATTTGGAACAAAGCAATTTCTTTTCTTTATCGAAATACTCCTCTGAGAATTAAGCTTGTGTTTTCCTATTTCTAGTGAATGAGGGAGAGAAAAGTCAACACTGGAAGGGCAGATGTGTTAATCAGCTTTCTGTTAGTATAAGAAAATACCTGAGATAATCAACTTAAAAAGACAAAAGGTTTATTTTGGCTTGCTCTTCTGGAGACTTCAGCCCATGATCTATTGGCCCCATTGCTTTGGGGCCTATCAGAAACAGCACATTATGGGTGGGCCAAAACCTTCACCTCATGAATGGGATATAAAAAGAGAGAAAACCCAGGTGCAGTGATTCATGCTGCTAATTCCAGTGGCTCAATGGCCTAAAATCTCCCACTAGACCCCATATCTTAAAGGTTCCCACTGCCTCACAAAAATTAACATGTGAGTCTTTGGGGGACATTTCATATCTAAACAATAGCAATAAATTCCCTTACTCTCACTAACATGGGAGTAGAACCTTATAATACAGAGAGAAATTTCCTTTGAGAAGGTGGGCACAACTGGACCCTTTTTGTTTGGAGGGTCTGAGAGAGTCAAAGGGAAGGTAAAATGATTAGGTTTTAAATTCTGGAAGCAGCATATGCCTGAACCAATCCCAATCCAGTGTAGCTGGGAAGATGGAAAGCCACATCCTAAGACACAACTTCTATTACGTGGATTGTGAACAAGGATGCATGGAGTAATAAGGAGATGATACACAAGATTGGCAAGGACACTAAATTATGCTGAAGACAGTGGTTATCTCCCCAGAAGAACCTGTCTCTCCCTGATCTGGACTCTCATTGTGCTGTTTACACTTAAAATGGTACACACTGCTGTCTGGAGGGAGAGACAAGATAGTACCAAGCTGGCTTGGTACTGTTCTGTCTCTCCCTCCACAAGATGAGCTTCTCGAGAACATATCTTATCAATGCTCAAAGGTCTACACACTTAGCCATCTCCAGGGTCAGCAGGGAATGACTATGGCTTTCCCTACAAATTGCTCCTTCACTACCATAAATGGCTCTTGCTGAGGTCATCAGTGATTTCCCTGTTGGTTCCATCTGATAAGGATACTTTTTAGTCCTCATCTTACTTTCTCTCTCAACTGTACCTGACTCTCTTGACCACTCCCTTCTTGAAACATTGCTTTCTCACACTTCCCTGGGTTTCCTCCTACAATTTGACAACCCCTTTTCAATCTCCTTTTCTAGCACATCCCATTCTGCCTGGCTATTAAATTTTGCAATTCTTAAAGGCTCAGTCTTAAACCATCACCTCTCTCGATGCTGTTCTTTCTCCCTTGATAATTGTACCCATGTTCATGTCTTCAATTTCAATTTACACACCCATTAAGTCCCACTTTATATCACCAGCCTAGAACTTTCCTCTGAGCATTAGCTCTAACCACTTGAGTGTCTCAAAAGCACTTCAGGAAATACAGTTGTCCTTCAGTATCCATAGGAGATTGGTTCCATCATCCCTTGCAGATTTCAAAATCCAAAAATGCTCCAAATCTCTTAAATGCATAGTATTTGCATATAACCTACACACATCCTCCCATGTACTAAATTACTTTTAATACATTACAGAATGTAAACTCAATATAAATATTTGTTATCCTGTATTGCTTAGGAAATAATAGCAAGGAAAAAACTGTACATGTTTAATACAGGCGCAATTTTTTCCCAATATTTTTGATCTGAGGTTGATATAATCTGCAGACCTAGAACCCAGGGATATGGAGGGTCTGACTATATTTGTGAAATGCATACCCAATACAGAACTAGAGTGCACCTAAAATATATATTTTAAAACTTCGAAACTTGGAAATAAGAAAACATGCCTAATTCTTAAATGGGCAAAATAGTTGAACAAAAGCTTTACTTAAGAAGATATGCCCATGACAGATAAATACATGGAAAGATGCTCCACATCATTAGTCATTCAGGAAAAATACAAAATAAAATCACAATCAGATACTGTTTCACACCTATTGAAATGGCTAAAATTAAAAATGTTGACAACACTACTGCTGACAGGGAAGTGGGACAGCTAGAACTCTCATACATGGCTAGTGGGAATGCGTCTGTTGTTAGTACAACCACTTCAGAGAGCAAGTTAGCAATTTCTCATGAAGTTTATACATATATGTATATAAATTGATGTTCCAGGTCTTATATAGGGTGAGCCAGCAGTCCTACTCTATTTATTACCACTTCCCACCCCCAGGACACCCTTGGGGCTAGGTATGCACAGAGGTGGGTTCAATCTGGGAAGGGTGGACCAGGGAAAGAGGACTACACAGGCCCTAGCAGTGGGCCCAGGGCACCCAGGCAGTGTGGTCAAGAAGAATATGAACCCCAGGACCTGTGTCCCTGTTGGCCCCAGGGGAAGGGCACAGCACAGACATGCATACCTAATTGATCCTGAATACCAAGTCTTGTCTGAATTAGAGATGAATATAGAATATTTGTAAAGAAAGACCTAAAAGACTTAAAGTATTAGGGGCCCAGTCCAATTACCTTATTTTAAAGAAAAGTAAATTCAAGGTCAAGTACAGTAGTCCCCCCCTCATCTGCAGGGGACAAGTTCCAAGACCCCTAATGGAGATCTGAAATTGCAGATAGTGAGGAACTCAATATATTTTTTGTTTTTTTCCTATACCTGCATACCTATGATAAAGTTTAACTTATAACCTTAGAGGTTAATGATATAATGATAAAATAGAAGAATTATATGTAACAAATAACATACAGCAATAAAATCCACATGAATGTTTTCTCTTTCTCTCCCTCTCAAAATATCTCATTGTTCAGTACCCATCCTTCTGGTAAGGATGGGAGATGAGACAGAATATGGTGAATGACGTGGCTTTTTGACGTAGCGTTAGGTGACTACAGTAAGGGTTACTTGAACACAGGCACTAAGACAGCACAACAGTCCTCCTAATAACCTAGATGGTTACTAAGTGACTCTTTCAGTCAGCTTTCTTGTCGTTGTGACCAAAACACCAAACAAGAACAAATTAGAGAAAGGAAAATTTATGTGGGGCTCATGGTTTCAAAGTCTTGGTTCACAGACAGCTGACTCCATTGCTCTGGGCCTAAGGTGAGGCTGCATATCATGGAAGAAGGACCTAGCAGAGAAAAACTGCTCTGTTCCTGGTGGGGTCAGGAAGGAGCGGGGAGAGACAGAGAGAGAGAGAGAGGAGGAGGAAAAGGAGGAGGAGGAGAAAAGAGACTACAGGGAAGATGAACCCTTCCAGGCTATGTCCCCAGTAACCCACCTCCTCCAGCCAAACCCCACCTGCCTACAGTTACCACCCAGTCAGTCCATTCCAACTAGGACGGGCTGGGGGGAAGCCTCACATCCAAATCATAATAATGACTAATAAGTGTGAGAAGGAGAGAGAGTAGGGGTCAGCAGGGGAGATGTGGGAAGGCACAGTAGGCAGGGGCAGCCTACGGAGCAAAGGGACGATGTTATAAAATGGGCTGAGAATACGGAAGCCACACATCTGTTCTGCTGGGGTATGAAGGATGAGAGTGAGCGGAGCAGAGGAATCAGGGTGGTAGAGGCTAGATGGGAGCAGGCATTCTGTCACCAGGTTATCTACGTGCTAAAAATCATCCTGTACTGAGAAAGCTACTGACGGGTTTTAGGCAGAGAAATGATGAGTCTCTATTTGTGAATTACAAAGATTGCAGGAGCCAACTTGCGATGAAGGAGCTGGAGAAAGAGCTAATGTACAAGTTCAAGGAGAGATGGTGCAGGTCTGGACATTGGTTGGAAGGCCAAGGGGAGAAAATAAGCCTTAAGAACAGAGAGTGATGTATTGCCACCTCAGCTATGCACTTCATTGATTTTGAATTTGTGACCACTAAAGGTCTGAGTTTAAGTTCACTCGTACTTGGAAATCTTTTTTCGGGCAGGGTGTAAGTGCCCAAATTTATGAGACACAGGTGAAAGCTGTTTTCGAGGAAAATGTATAGTCTTAAATACTTTCATTATTTACACCCCAAAAAGCACTGATGTTAAGAACTTATCTTAAGAAATTAGAATAGGAGCAACCAAACAAACCCAAAGAAAAGTGGAAAGGAATATTAATAAAGATAAAGTAATGATTAATGAAATAAAAAGTATATTAGAGAGGATAAATAAATCTAAAAGCTTGTTCACTGAAAAGACTAGAGAAATAGATGAACCTGTTTCAAGTGCCCAATTAAAAAGAAGGATATTAATGAGAGAGAAAACAGAGATGATATAAATTAATTGCCTCAGCAAGATCATTGGGAGTAAATTACAAATACATACTTGAGATTCAAGAGCCTCCAGCGTTCTTCCTACACCAATAATGATCCCGCAATTCCATCGGTGTTTAATCCTCCATCCCTCAAGCCTTCAGGTACCAGCAATTGTTTGTTAATATCATTCTCCTTCTCATCCTAAAATTATTTTTAATTTTTTTGTTATTATTAGTGACTCATATATATCAGGCTTCTTTAAGTCAAATACTATATGAAAACTGTTTTGCGTCGATTTTATTTTAATCCTCCCCCAAATCAAGCCAGTTGAATCCAGGCCTCCTATGGCACTATTTTCCAAATAAGAAAATTGAATTTAGCATAATGAGATTAATTTGCCCCAGTCTCCCACGTCTCTCAAGAGTGGAGACATCCTTTGCACAGAGCAAGTGGTCTCCTGGGCTGGGGCATCCCTTTCTATGTATGACACAAGCCCTGCTAGAAAGTGCCTGAGTTTGTTTGAAAACAATCAGAGGTATAGGTAGAGTACTGCAGGTTCCAGTTAACAATGATCTGGGTCCTGGTGTTGTCATAGTGTTCCAGTCATGACCTTGCCTTTTAGATGCTAAACTTTAGGGAGTTACAGTCATCCCCTTATCCTCAGTTTTGCTTTCCACAGTTCCAATTACTCTTTGTCAGCTGTGGCCCATAGTATTATATATATTTATATATATTTCCAGAAATAATAATTCACAAAGTTTTAAATTGCACACCATTCAAAATAGCATGATGAGATCGTACAGTCTTGCTTCATCATGCCACACATGAATCATCCCCTGTCCAATGTATCCATGGTGTATATGCTACATCCCACTGAAGAACCACTCACTCCAAGAGCCTTCCTGGCACTCTGCTTACCTCCTGGCCCTCCAGCTCCCACAGCCACCTGGACATCATTCTTCTTTTTCCCTCACCACTCTGCATTCAAATAAGCTGTCTTCTTGTTTATCTGCTTATCTATCCCTATTGTGTGGACCAAACGCAATGTTTCCTTTAACCTGGGTCCCTAGCTCCTCAATCAGGTGCTGAATCTGAACTCAACTGATGAGTCTCTCTGAGCTTTTAGCCTTGAGGGTTTTCCAGCTCAAGCTTTGAAAAAAAGACATGCACATGTTCCAGAGTAGGTATGGTTCCACTTCCTGACCTCATGTACTGCCTCCACAGTGGTACAGGACAGCAGGTGGCACCCTCAAGTCCCCAGAAAAGAGCAGGTTTACAATAAAAGACAGACCTTTTGCCCTTTTACTGGGGCAGTTGAAGTTGACTAAGATTCCCTCTTTATCAGGCACTTTCAATTTAGTGAGAACATTTTATGAGATGCCTCATTTAACCCTCTAAGGCCTTATCCCATTTTCCATAACAGGGAACTGAGGTTTAAAGAAGTGGTTCTCAAACTTCAGTGTGTGCCTGAATCGCTTGGGGATCATGCTCCAAATGCAGACTCTGACTCCATCTGGGTTGGGGCCTAAAGAGCCTACATTTTTAAGAGACTCCTTGGTAACAGGGATAGTGTTGTGTATGGACCTCCTTTTGAGTGACAAGAGCTTTGAGAACTGCATCGAGTTGCTTTCTTTCCTGTCGTACAACCTCCAGGGCAGCAGTAACCCGCCTATAACAGAGATGGACATGCTCTATGAACTGCACAGTCCAAATGATAGTCTAACATAGCCACTGGGACTAAGGAACTGGATTTTTAATTTGCTTTGTGTGTGTGTGTGTGTGTGTGTTTGTGTGCATGTATGTGTGCACATACACACTAAGAATTGAACCCAAGGTCTTGCACATACCTGGTAAGCGCTCTACCATTGTCCTACATTTCCAGCCCTGAATTCACTTAGATTTAAATGGCCACATGTAGCTAGAGATAGCCACCATATTGGGTCAGTATAGTTTCTGTAAAGCTGAGAGAAGGAAGGGGTTACAGTAAGAAGCTGCAGGGGCTGACAGACCAGCTCTCCTTCCAGAAGCTCAGGCCCAAGAGGGCTCAGCTTGACTGGATTTCAGCCCAGGTGCACAAGCCACCTTGTGCTTCCAGCTAACAGCTGGGACAGAGTTGGGGTTGAAGTTGCCCATCTGGGCACAGAGAAGAATAATCTTTTATAGCATATTGAACTTCTATGAAGCCACTTTTGTTCCCTAAGGACCTAGAAGAAGGTAAGAAGCAGAGCGCACAAAGATATACTGGAGGTCAGTAGCCCTGAGCCAGGCTGAGTCTTGAAGCAAGATCATTTCTGAACACTTGTTATGTGCCAGGCACTTTTCAAGCATAGCACATATGGGTTCATTTTAATCATCACACCAATAATTTTACTCTCTGGATAGATAAGGCAAAGAGAGGTTAAGAAACGCACCTGAGGTCACACAGTTTGTGAGTGCTGAAGCTGCAATTCAAGTCCTAGAAGTCTGGCTCTGGAGCATTTATTCTTGACTCTGTGCTAAAATTGCCAAGGGGGTGGTCTGTCTGGCTTGGCAATGATTGCACTAAGGAATGTCTAGGCCCTCTGGCAACCAGGCCCTTCATCAGGACCGCCAGGCTTCCTATGTCATTTGCTTCAATGACATGGCAGATCCTGATAGAGACTGGTTGCCAGGACTGAGGGCTTTGTATCAATAGGGTCCAGAGCCTGAGAGCCTGAGTCAGGAAGTCTAGGCAAGCCCTTGTCCCCTTCTCCTCCACCACATTGGCTCAGGCCTTGTTGTTTTAGTTGTAAGTTTACTCCATCCTCATCTGAATAACTATGAATAGCAAAGAGGACACCAGAAGAAAAAGGCAGAGTGCCAGGTAAGGTGGTATCCACGGATAACATATTCCATTTTCACTCCACACTTCATTCCAGTGACTATAGGACACCGTAGGACACTGGTCAGAGAAAGCCTCCCTCGCCTGGCCTGTTTCAGAACCTACCTTACAAGGATTCAGGCGACTGCTGGCCCTTTAAATGGAACCAGCTCCCACAGGGCACTATTAAAGCTCACTTCATTCATGAATTAAGTCCCTGACATCCCATATCTGTATGATCAATATGTTTGTTTATTAGCAGCAGCTGCTGTGTTTTAGCAGAGGCGGTGGGCCCCAGTGAGAAGGCCGCTCGTAACCACAGAGCAGGGCCTGGGACCAGGCGAAGAAAGGCCTCCTACTGGCAGATGGGAGCTGGAGCTGGATAGGGTTTCATGGTAATGGTCCTTTAATTGAAATCACCGGTTCAGTAGAACATTCATTCGGTAGAGAGCTGCGTTGATGCTCCTGGCAGAGTCCTCCCTCAAAGTGGTCCATTAAGTGGTGGGGATGCTCCCAGCTGCTGGCCTAGCAGAGCAGCTGAGCAGAAGCAGGGAGCAGGAGGGGGGGTCAGCAAGGCTGCAAGGCAGCCCCTCCTTCTCTGAACAACTGCCATGAACTCTACCAAAGGGAGTAGGATGAGGGGTGGCCCCTTAGGATGCTAAGACCCAGTCAACTTGCTTCCTGGACCCATCCCAAACCCAATCGCAAGTCCCTTGTCCTCACCCCTGAGTTCATTTTGCTTTAGTGACTCAGGAACCTCATTCTGAGGCTGACTTAGGATTTTCCAAATGAGGAAAGGACTCAACATTTTCCAGTTCAATTATCTCCTGTGCTGATGACTCAGGGTCCCTGCCCCTCATCCATCTTTGGTGGTAAAAGTCCAAGGGATGCCCCTAAAACCACTGTTTGATTCATGCATGCATGCAGAGCAACTTCTATACACAAAGACCATGCTAGGGCCCAGGAATACAAAGACAAAACAATGTAGTTTTGCTCTGGGATAAGTGTTGTGGAGATAAAACACATGCAAATGTGAACAACACAAGAAAATAGTTGCTTCATTGGGAATATTCAGGATGCACAGTTGTAGCATAGCAGGGAAACTTGCTGGGAAGTCTGGAAGATGGGACATAGGCAGGTGGCATTTGATCTGAAGGAATTTGTTCTGAGCTTATGTGAATTTCCACAGGGTTCTTCTGTTTCTTCTAGATGCCCCATTACAGTCTAGACTGACAGGACTCCCCTATACCTCATAATGTGCACTGTGTACCATAGCCTAGCAGGCTATGGAGTGGTTCACAGTTGGCAGTGATTTGTCCCCCAGGGCTATTTGCTAATATCACATTTTTGTTTGTCACTACCTGGCTTGAGTGGGCAGTTATCAGTGGCATCTAGTGAATAGAGGCCAGAGATGCTGCTTAGCCTCCTACAATGAACAGGACTGCTCCAGAACAAATAATTAAATTGTCCAACATATCAATAATGCCAAGGTTGAGAAATACCTGGCTATACTGATGTCTTCATATTTTACACACTATTTCCTGCCTTACTTCAGAATTGCCTTCCTTATCCATCCATCATACCCAATTCCATCCTGTGACAAATACTACCAATGGCTAGTCTTGCCTCCTGGTCTGCCATTTACATGTCACCTTGGCCTTTGGGATTTGATAGCAGATACCATTTTCTGTGACAGGACCTTGACTAGTCTCACTTTATCCCACAGAGCCTCAAATTTGGGGGCTGCCCTTCTGGGATGTTCCAATTGGTTTCTTCCCATTTCCACAAATACACACTCACAGCTGATCCTATCCTCCTGCCTCCACGCCACATCCTTCTTGACATACATGTACATGGCTAAGACTACCCACTCTCTTGCTCTCACCAAATTCCATTCTTCATCTTGTCCTTCGTTGCTACCAGTCACTTGGTCATGAACACAGGTGGCCCTAATACACAGAAAAAGGTCAGGTGAATAATTGTCAACCACATATTACTCAATGTTTTCTAGCGCCTGGCTTCGAGGATGCCTGTACCCCAGAGTTTTGAGTACCTTCCAGTACATGTCTCATGACAATCTCATGAAATCAAAGTTGCTGAAAGAACCCATCCTCTTGAGTCTTTCTGAACAGGATGTTCAATAGAGAATCCCAGGTTATCAACACTCTGCTTACTGTCCTCTGACCAACCTCTTGGAGGTTATAGAAAATGTCGGTTTTTGCTCTTAAACTTTCTAAACCAAAGATGAGAAACAGTCATCTCCAATAAATTGTTTGTGGCTACCTTGGAGCAATATTTTGGGAAAGATACTGGGTTGGTGAGACACTGGGGAGCCAAGGGGGTTCCTTAAGGAGGCTGGGGATTTTCAATCATTTCTCCTCCATTTTTTGACATACATCATCTTTGACCTCATACTCTCACCCCATTCCAATTAGGCAGCTGGCCCAGCCCATCCTATTATAAAAATTCTAGAACTTTAACTATTTGAGACGAAGGTCCAGGAAAAATGACAGTCAAGATCAATTAGCAATGTTTTCAAAAACATGAAGGAGAGAGGAATAGAGACTACTGTGCCAGATGTGTGCCACTCTTGGTTCTGGATGGAAAATAAATTATCACACATTACTCAAGCTGTTTGATTAGTAGGGTGGTAGCTGAGGTTGACAGTTCAGTGTCTGGGTCTTCATGAGAAGCCCAAGTGAGTACTGAGATGGATTACATCCTAAGTAAAGTCGACAGCGCGTTCTCGTTGGTTTCCACCTGTGGATATGTGCACAAAATCCACTTAGTGATATAATTAGAAAGTAAATCTGCCTTCAATCAGCAAATTTCAATGCCCCACTCATTGGAGAGATGCCAAATCTGTGACTTTGTTTTCCTGAATGTCAATATGCTTATACCTTAGAATATCCTGATAAGCAGGGATTTTGAAACTCCCCGAGGACTGGATCAACCACTTCAACATTTGAATACACTCTGATGTTTCTGCCAAGTGGCCCTAGCTTTTATCTAAACAAATCCATGGATGAGGACTCACAACATTCTGTCCAATGCAGCCCATTTTGATTAGGCTCAACCTGAATCTCAGGCTGGTTAAAGATCATCTTTAAAGAAAACAAAATCCATAGACCTATATTTTCCATCCTTCAGCCCTGCTTCTTCCCTTTTAAGACCTTCAGAATGGTCCTTTCAGATATTCCTTGAGGCGGCTCAAAAAAGGGTCCTATGGACCAGGAATCAGCAACCCACCACCCTGGGGCCAAATCTAGCTCTTCATCTGTTTTGTAAATTAAGTTTTATTGAAGCACAGCTTATCTATTTGACTATGGAAGCACTTTGATGGCAGAATTGCTGTGGCAGAGATCATACAGACTGCCAAGCCAAAGATATTTACTATCTAACCCTGTACCAAAAATTTGCCAGACACTGCTGTGGACCAGCTCTTCCTGGTGACCACCAGGAGACATGGTATTGGGTCTTTAGCTTCTTACTCCTTGTCACTCTCTTCTTGACAACTACCATTAATTTGCATTCATTTCTTAAAGTGATTCCAGAACTAGGCTCCAACAGGGCTTAGACAAGACCCGTCTCCTTGCTGATTCTTAATACCAAACCTTTCTTTCTGCAGAGAAAAAAATTACCTTCACTTCCTCATGGTCAACAGTCACTGCTGATTTACAAGTTCTTCCTTGTTGACAATAAAATTACAGCACCACATCCAGCTAATATTTACCAAGAGCTTTCTATGTAAATTGTACTGGTGAGAAGTACTGTATATCATTTCTTTGATGATTCCCATCCAACTGTCCTATAAGATAGGTACTATCATTATTCCCATTTTATAAATGAAGCAATTGGAGGCTATTATGATTTGGGTTTGAAGTTTTCCCTGAAAAGCTCATGTTTTGGAAACACAATATCCAATGTAGCAATGTTCAGAAGTGGAGTGATGAGATTTTGAGAGTTATAACCTCATCAATAGATTAAGCCATTTGAAGGATTAACAATTCGAATGGACTACTGGGTGGTAACTATAGGCAGATGCGGCATGACTGGAGGAAATAGGTCGCTGAGGGCATGCCCTTGAAGTTTATATTTTATCACTGGCTCATCTCTTCCTCTCTCTGCTTCCTGGCTGCCATAAACTAAATAGCCTTCTTCCACCATGTGCTTCTGCCTCACTTCTGGCACAGAGTCAGTCATCCATGAACTGAAATTCTGAAACTATGAGCCCAAAATAAAAATTTCCTCCTCTCAGTTGTTCTTGTCAGGTATTTCTGTCTCAGTAATGAACAAACACACACTCAGAAAAGTTAAGCAAATTCCCAAGGTCATATAGTTCACAAATGACTAAGTAGGCTAGATTGCAGACTCAAGTCCCCCTGATTCCCCCTTATGATAATAGCTTTCCCCTTCCTAGGTGCTAGGACCCTGTTGGGTGACGTTTGGTTATAGTTCCTGCATGAGTAAACCTTGACCTTAACTTGACAATTTAGCCCACTTCTACATTCATTCAACAAATGGCTCATTGATCAAGTGCATGGGCCAGGCCTTGTTCTTGTATAAAAAAAATTGATTGAAAACACTCTGCCCTCATGGCACATATCTTCTAGCGGGGTAGTGATAAAGAAGAAGTAAAATAAGAAAAAAATCAGAAAATGACAAGTGCTATGAAAAAAAAAATAACAAGGCAGGGAAGTGCCTCTTACTGGAGCAGGGCAGAGTTACAATTTTCAGTTGGATGATCAGAGTGGCCTACCTGTAACCTGAGGGAGGGGAAGGATGTGGCCATGTGGGCACCTGGAGGAGGAGCCTTCTAAGCAGAGGAAATTCAAGTGCTAGGATCCTAGGGCAGGAGTGTGACTGGCATGGCCAAGAAGTAGCAAAGAGACCACCTGACTGAAGAGAAGACCTGGGGTGGAGTAGGAGGAGGTAAGGCAAAGTTGGTGATGAGAGGCCAGGACGGCAGGGCTTGGGGCCTCACCCTGAGTGAAGGGGGGAGCCTCTGGAGGGGTCTGAGTAGAAGAGGGGCATCTTGTGACTTGTGCTTTAAATGATGCCCTCTGGCTGCTTGATCTGCTGGATTTCAAACATACTTTAGGAGTGAAGGTGAAATCAGGCTGAACAGTTAGGAAGCTACTGAAATGCTGCCATGGAGCATGTTTTGGTCAGCAGTGGACCATATATACAATGGTGGTCTCAAGATTTTAATGGAGGTGAAAAATTCCCATCATTTCCTGATGTCACAGCCATTGTAATGTTGTAGAACCAGGCATCACTCTCATATTTGTGGTGGAAGCAGACTCATGGCCCTGCCAGTCACAGGAAACTGCAGCACGTGCAACCATGCACAATGCAGAGTACTGTATAATAAACAACTATGTTACTTAAAGTGTTTACTTTACCAGGGTTTTTTCATTATTTTAGTGTACTCCTGCTTATAACTTGTACTAGTTTATGGTATAACAATGTGTTGTGCTGCCAAAGCAGCAGTCTTGTCCATCTTGTGTCTACCACATCTCTTAATTGCATCCAGAGGCTGCGTGGAGTGATTGAGCTATGCCTTCTAGGTTTGTGTAAGTATGCCGTGCGATATTCACACAAGGACAAAAATCACCTAGTGCGTGCTGTTGTTCAACAAAGCCTGATAGTATTACCGAAGAGAGATGATGTAGATTTCAACTAGGGACCCAGCAGCAGAGCTGAGGAGAAGCCAGCTGAATTCTGGAGATCTATGGAAGGTAGCCCCACCCACATGGGTAAAGGATGAGCAAGCTCAGAGCCAAGGATGTCATCCAGACTTCTGGCCAGAGCAATCAGAAGGATGCAGTTGCCTTTAGTGAGATGGGAGAAGACAGCATGATGGGCAGGTCTGGAGAGGACAGTCAACTGAGTTTGGGCAGATTAAGTCTGAGATGCCTGTCAAACATCCAAGTGGAGATGCTGAGGAACCAGCCAGCTCTGAGTGACTGAAAGCTCAAGGAGGATCTTTTCATTCAGCCTTCATCTATTCACAGCTATTTATTGAGTGCCTACTTTAGTTCAGCAAATAACAAAGGCATTAAAATGTTTCTGGAGGAAAAAATAAACTTGTATTTAGATCAATACTAAATGGCACATCCTATTGTCTTGGACTATTAACAGCCATCGCTCCTCTGTCAACAGCACCACACCCCTCCACACACAGACACGCAGAGATACACACACTCACACAGGCACACATTACAGAATAAGGGAGCCACCCCAGAGAAGATTCTGGGAAATAAAAGGGATGAAGCAGATTCATCCTGTAACAGAGAGTGCTCCCTCTTATAGCTCACTGCTTCTGCCCTTCTGCACCCACAGAACTCTCAGCTTCAGCAACCTAAAAATGTTCCCCACCCTGCTGAACAGCTGCCTCAAGGTTCATCCTGACCAGACAAACTCTCTAAGACGAATGTCCCAACAGGCACCCCAGCCTGAAGAAGGTATATGGCCTGGTTTTGGGACTCCAGTGAGGGAAGTTCCCTATGGTCTTAGATGACATCCTTTTTCTTCCCTCCCCGCCACCACTTTAATTATGGCTTCTGACAGCAAGGGCTCAGCTGGTTCAGAAATCCGCACTCTGAACTCACTGGCACAAAGGTTCCAGACAGACAGACCTGGGGAGACTTTTCCCTTGGACTTGGGCTGGGAGATGGAGAATTTTTAATTAGAAGTTGTTATTAATGGGAAATGCTGCAAATTAAAACTAGGCCTCCTCCCTCTCTCTCCTGCCTTCCCCACTATATTTATCTCTGATCTCAATTAGAAAGTTCAGGGACTCGCTGCTGAATAGAATTTGTGGAGATGAAAGCTGGAGTCACCAGGAGGAGGATGAAGATGTGGGAGGCGAGGGTGGGAGGGAGGCCAGGAAGGGAGCACCGCTGGGTGCAGCCGAGATACCCTCGTGGGATGTCCTTGGACCCAC